TTGTAAGAACAAACCTTGTAAAATTTTTAATTCAGAAAAATGGAATCGATAATCTATATTTTATTTTAAATTAATAAATTTATGGTACATAAATATTCTGATCAACAATATTCCAAATATATATTACATATAATACATTTATATATTTCGTACATTCTTGAGCATACCTTTGCAAAAAATCTTCAATTAAAATTATCCACGTAACTTTGGAATTCGAAGTGCTAATCGATTTTTTTTTTAAGTTTTTATCCAAAAACTTATTTCTTACCATCCTGCTCAATTTGCTACGATCTTGGACGAACATTTTCCTAGATCAACGAACGATCTGCTTGGATCCAGATTCCGTGAAAAAAGGTTTCGCCGGACAGGCTGGCAGAAGCGCTACTATACCTATATATACGTCTATGGAAGAGAGTTGCTCGTGTAAAATATAGCGAGTGCGAAGGTAGTGAGGAGGCCGGGGTCCTCTCTCGGCAATCAGGGGTGATTACGGGTGTAATTACGGTTACGGCGCATTGCTGCGCCACGAAAAGAGAGAGGGAACATTGTTTCTTTCTGGGAAACCGACAGGTTTATGGGGATCGTTCCTTCGCCGTTTTTTCTTGTCGTGATGCGCGCGCTCGCGAATCGTTGCCACGACCGAACAACCGCTCTTTTCCATCGCTTTCTTATTTTTTTCTTTTTTCTTTTTTTTTTCCTCCTTTATCCCTTCGTGCCAGAGAATTCCACCCTTGGAAAACCTCGCGTGTTCTCTTTCATCGATCGATTCCGTTGTGATCTATTTTTATCATCATAGATAATAAATGAATTTTAGAAAACATTTTCGAGTGGTTGTATAGTTCGATAACTTTTGATTTTTTTGTTCTTTATTAAAATTAGTATAATATTCGACAAGAAATACATAATTATTTAATATTATTTATAATTTTGTGTATAATCTGTGTATAACACAGATGGAAAGTCTCTCGATAAGAAAAACTCGCTTCGAAACTCGGATCAATCGTAAAACGACGAGTAACAATTCTGACACATTTCGTTCGCGAAGGAATCCCATTTTCCGATTGGTTTGTCCGCGGATAGTACGTATTCACAATTCGCGATTCCTTTCACCCCCGTTCCTCGCTGCACCCTTAGATAATCACGAGTGGTGAGATTCCCCCTTTCTTCCCTCGTAACCCTCTTTCCCTCGCATCCCGATCGTAAAAAAGTAACAACGTTGCCTATGCTGGTTCTGGGCGTGGCGGTCGGGCAAAAAGGAAGAGGGAGGAAGGAGAGATGGAGAAAGGAGAGTAGTAGTAGGAGAGGGTAGAGAAAAATAGGAAGGAAGAGGAGGAAAAGAGGAAAGGGAGATGTGCGCGCGGAAGAGGAGGGGGAAGGGGAGAAAGATGGAAGGAATGGGTTCTCGAAGATGGAGAGGAAAAAAAGGAGGATGGAAGAGAGACGGAGGAGGATGGAAAGAGGATGGTAAGATCTCCGGGGCTCCGTCCTCGTGACTAGAGGGAATCTCTAGTGGGATAAGGTTGGTCGGCGGGGGCCCCATGGGCCCCGATCGTTGGTTACACGAGGGCCAGGGTTAGCCCTCGGGCAACATTCCCCGGTAATGGTCGGGTTATACCTCGGGTAACACAGGTGCCCTCGGCTACGGAGGGAGAGATCGCGCAACGAAAGAACTGCGGGGCTGACTTACGACTCTCTCGGCCCCCTCACCTCCCTCTCCCCTCGGCTACACCGCCCGATACATCCATCTATCTCTTCGTTGGACGATTCCGGTGCCGATTCCGGCCATCAAAAACGGGGAATGCTACTAGTAGCCTTCGTTCGAAAGAAGGGGGAAGAAGGAAAGAAGGGTGTGTTACCGAAGGTGGAACGAAGGGAACGAAGGGATTTGCTTTCTCGGCAGATGATGGTATTAGGAACAAAGGAGGATGGAATGAAAGGAAGCGTCGAAGATTTTTTTCTCTTTTTTTTTTTTTTATTTTTTTTATTACGCGTCAATGGAAACGTATAAGATTCTGAATCCGGAAAGAAAATGATTAGAGAAGAAAGAAGGATGATGTAATCGAAGATTAAGAAAGGTATGCTTGTTATCTTCAATCATGTGAACAGAAGAAAAATCCTTTTTTAAAACACATCTGTATTATGGAATAGTGCATTACGTAAATGCCGGCATTCTTGTGCTATAAAATAAAGAAAAATCGTGGAGAGGGGAGGAGAGGGGAGGGAGGAAGGAACGCAAACGCCTTTTGTTGTTGGCAGAGGTTGGCATCCTCGTAATAAAAGTGGTATTCGCAGTATTGTCGAAAGGCCTGGAACGACGATAATTCGAGGTACATTTTTCATGGGTTTCGGGCCGCCTTACAATGCCCGCTCGAACTTTTCTTTTTAATGACGCTGCTGACTCTCTCTCTCTCTCTCCCTCTCCCTCTCTCTCTTTCTCTCTCTCTCTCTGTCGGCCGCAAGAAATACGATGTTCTGACCTTCTTAGGTCGCCACCCCCAACCTTCCTCCTCTCCTTCCCCTTTTCTTCGTCCTTCGATTCCTTCTCTTCCTTCTTCCCTCCTCTTTCACCCTCCCCTTTCCGCTTCTTCTTTCTCGTCCCTTCTCCGCCTTGTACTCTATTCTCCTTATTCTCCTCGCTGTTTTCCTTCCCTCGTCTTTCCCCTTTCTTCCTCCCTCTCCTCTTCTTCCTTCTCCTCCTCCTCCTCCTCTTCTTCTTCTTCTTCTTCTTCTTCTTCTTCTTCTTCTTCTTCTTCTTCTTCTTCTTCTTCTTCTTCTTCTTCTTCTTCTTCTTCTTCTTCATCTTCTTCTTCTTCTTTTACCGTTCGAAGGAAGGCAACAGAAAGGAAAGCGGGAGAGACGTCGGGGCCCGGGTTGGGCCTCTTCACCGCGGAGAGTGCATTACATCCCCCCGGCTCCTTCTTCTTTCATCCTTGGCCGGCTCCACCGCGGAATGTGGCTCGATCCGCTCCTTCGTGTCTGAAAGGCAGCATGCCACACGTGGCACCGGACGTCGACGAGGTGGACGGCTCAGAGTGTATCTCGGGCAAATCGAAATATGCTAAATACAGGGTGTCCGAGAATCCTCGACTTTCTACTCGCTCCGATGTAGGGAAACCAAAAGAGAGGAAGAAGAAAAGAGAGAGAGAGAGAGAGAGGCGGATAAAGAGGAGAGCGAAGGAACGCTCGTTGCACGGTGGATATAGAAAGAGGAGGAAGGAGAGAAAGAGACGGGGAAGGGGTAAGAGAAGGGTGGGGAGAAAGAGAGAGAGAAAGAAAACCAAGGGAAGAATCGAGGCGCGGCTGTTCGAACACGAACGACACTACCCGGACCGGCTTCACGACGTGGAGTTTTATTGAGGAGCAGATGTTTGAAACGTAACCTATAATGATTCCACACTGTATATATACGTACGAAACGCGGCTATATATATATATATATATATACACGCTCCCTCGTACGGTTTATGGTTTTACCGATGAACCAGCATCACGATAACATATTTTATTGCGGCTCCGCCGATAATGGTAGTTAGGATCGTCTAAACGGGATGAACACTTTCGGTCACTGACATCTCCCTCACGGCATCCTTTTATAGATCGCGGCGGGGTGAAACGCGTTCCGTGAAAATTTCTCTCGCGACGATTTCACCGTGAAACGCAAATCAAATCCCTGTTCGATGAAAATCAGTCGCAGTTCGAGAATCGTTCGGATGAAACGACGATTTTAGATCGTCGGGTAGTTTCTTCGAATCTAGGTTAGGTTTCGCGCGTTAAATCGCGCGCGATTAATTCAACATAGCGTAGCGTGTCGACTCAACGAGGTTAACCTTCACGTTAGCACATTCCATCCCACGCGCGCCATAATATGCGTACGTAAATATATCTATAAGGTAAGATCTTTAATATCCAGAGTTATTACGAAGATTTCGAACGATGGGAAAAAATTATTTTTACAGAAATCTTCTATCGAATCGCACGATATATCCTGTCTATGATTACGAAATATAGGAGAAACATTACTCTTTCCCCTTGTGATCCCTCAACTCTGTCAACGTTCTCTCCCTTTATCTCTCGACGACGTTTCAAGAGTGAGTGGTAAAGCAAGGGTTCGGCGCAATGCGGGATAGCGCCTACTAGCGCACGATCGTGGGGCCCCAGTTGCAGGTTCCAGATCGAGTTCCAGTTCGGAAAGCGCGTCGCGTTGTCGCGCCATGAGGGTCTGGGAGCCGAGTGTCTGGCCCCATGTGGGCAGGACAGGTTTGGGGGCCCTCTCATTCACGAACATCTCCTCTCCGCCGACAATCTCTTTCATTGTTTCGCTCGTTTAGGGGTATCGGCATTTCGGACCATCAGCCGTGCAAAAAGTCGAGCGAGGAGAATGAGTCCCCGGGCTCCACGCAACGACCATATCGGGGCACCGTGGACGCGTATGTGCGGCCCTTGTACGGGCCCATTCGGCCCGATCCCAGGTCCCAGAATGTCGCGGCCCATCCCACCCCGCCGGACCAACCTTGTATACGCTCCGCGATTATAATAAAGGAACACCGTCGCTACCGATAAAATTAATTTGTCACCCGGCCAGCCATGCCACCGGCCATTGCCATTTCGAGAAACTGCATCTCCATCCCAGGGAGAAAATTTTAAGGGGATTTTATTTCGAGGATTTGTCTTTTTTTTTTTTTTATTGGCATCCTGGATTACGTATTTATATGTATGTTATATATGTAGACGAGGAAATTAATTAATAATAATGTGTTAACTGATAGATAGATGCTTTGCTATTAATCTTGGAATTGGAAATAAGTGGAAAGTATTTGGAAAGAAATGATAAGAGATATTTATATCTTTTGATAATTGATAATTGATATTGATACGGTATAACTTTTCATCTGGTCGAGCACGAAATGATATAAATAAGAGGAATCAGAAAAATCGCATGAAAAATAAAATACTTGATTTAATTATCACGATTATTAATAATTGTTATTTCTGTGTTTCAGACGGCGAGTACCTGTTCGTCGATCCCGAGAATAAATTAAGCAAATACGCGCCGAAAAACTGGCGAAGCTCTCATACATACGTAAGTAGCGGATTTCTTAAAATATATTCGTCGTTTAACTTTTAAACAATTTCTGGTAGATCGTGAAAATCGTGTATTTCCCCTCCCTAAATATTTGTTTCAAATTCGCTGTTGTTGTATTTTTCTGACGAAATGCAATACGGGAGGAATTACAGAAAAATTCGATTATCACTTGGCCGAGGCCTCTTGTATAATGCATACTTAAGGAATTCAAAGGTTTAGATGATTCAGATGTGTATTGGGCGTATCGTCGACTAAATGTGATACGTTCTTACGGAGGAATTATGCGCCAGCGTTTCAAAAACCAGACCAGAGGTTTCACGAAAGGAAAAGAAGCTTATCGTAGTAGAATGTTGTTCCGTTTAATTCCTCATTCTACGGAATTACCCCCATATCTTTCAATAAAAATCATCGTTATTTAATCCTTTTTATTAATCCTAGTGTCATCTGCACGAGTAATATTCCTTTCATTGTAATGTTTGATAACGTTTTTATAGTCATCGTTAATGTTTTTCACCCGTATCAAAATAATGTAAGCTCGTAGTCTCTAAACGAGTTTCTTATCGTACTCATCATTTTTTATTAGGAGCCGAAACGGGGCAGTCAAATACAATTTTAAAGATAGGGGACATGGTCGACGCGTTAGATAACGTGAATTGCATTAACATAAACAATTCTTTTTCTTTTCTTTTTTTTTACTCTCTCATCAATAGTTAAATCAATTAAATATCGTGACGTAAATAAATGCTTATATGAATTGTATCGAAATTTGAGACAATAATTTATGAAATCCTGATATCAACCTCTTAAAGAGTTTAACTTATTTGATTCTTATTAATACATATATTCGTATATCTCGTCGTAGTTGGTGAAAAAAAATAATCGAAGCTCGTAGTCATTAACCGAATAAAATACCGCCATAAAGTTTCATCAAACAGACCAGAACATATATATATATATATATATATATATACATATACGAAAAGAAAATATTTCTTAAATTACCGAGTAACAAACAAGAACATTTAATTTCCATTTTACATACCGTGATATTTACGAAATAACGAATCCCCAAGCGGGAGGCCCGCGGTGTTTATACAGGCCCCTTAAATAATTTTCAGCAATTCGTACGATTGTTCTCTGCAAGAAAAAAAAAAGAGAGAAAGAGAGAGAGAAAATACGCATAAAAAAAAAAATATATATATATATATACATCGGTGTCCAAATATCGGTTTCACCAAAAGGAGAGTAATAATCCCTTCCCCACAAGACGAAACCTTGGAATATCATAATAATTTCTGAATTTATATTACGCAACCAGCTGTGTGCGGATACACACGTATATACGCTGTATGACTGGGTCGAGAGCTTCGAACGGTACGTCTCGCCATAAGGAATCGAAGAAAAAGAGAATTTAAGAGCAAAAGAAGCGAGCACGCTCGCGGCGAAAGGGGAAGGGCGCGTATAGGGGCCTCTCTTCGGTCAAATTAGCATTTCCATCCGCGGGTGCACGATGGCGGCCCTGGTGGTTTTGCCCTGAGGATAGCGCTAAACGAGCGTACAACGGCAGTCCTCCTCAAGACGGGTAGCTTCGCAATATACACCGGCAACTCGTCGTCGCCGGTGCTACGGTGTGGCTGCTTTGCTTTTTTCCTCCTCGCCAACCACCGATCTCCTCCCCTCTCTATACAGAGTGTTAATACATTCGTGGTGTAGAAGGATTTCTGGAGGCCAAAACAAATACAAAAATTGGTATGCAAAAATATCGATCCAGGCTCGTTCATTAAGTTACAAGTTACAAGACGAAGAATCTGGGTTAGACGATGTAGATGGATGTACATACGAATGATGAATCTTATTTAATAATCCTGTGATGATTATCATAGAGTGACTCTACTGTTTGAAGAAAAAAAAAAAAAAATAAAATAAAATTTTCTTAAATTAATTAAAATTAAACAAACTTTTCTTTCTTGTTATCAAGTGAATTATAAGAAAGAGAAAAAAATTCACAATTGTAAATATCAAAAACTTTTAAACAATATTTCACAAATCATCATTCCTCGTGAACCTACGTAACCTCAATTCAACAAACTCCGTTTATACATGGCCGAGATGACTGACTGACAATTCGCTTCATTCTTTTCCCTCCGTACGAATTTGAACGATTCCGTAGTGGGAAGTCGTGTTCCTTTCAGAACCGCAGGAATTTGTCAACAGCGTGCAACGCGTTCGATCGGTGAACAGCGGGGAGTTGGCCGGTGGAAATTACGGATCGAAGGGTTCTTTCGAGAGAGGTGGGCAGGGGGCCCTTTCGTGAGAGGGAAAGAGACAGAGCGTGCCGCCTCGTGCGATATCTTCGTATCTGCTCGGAGCGGTGGGACCCCCGTTTCGCTAATGACGGTCCACACCAATAACCAATAAATACTGGCCCGGTAAAACCGGGCTACCGGACTACGTGCTTATCTCGAAGGAATATCGGCTGTAAGGATTTTTCTGCAGCCGTGCGAGAGAGGTCCTCGGCTATTAAAACTGGGCCCCTCCTCTATCGCCGCTCTCTGCGCCTTCCAACTTTATACACGTGTACGTATTTCTTCCTCTTTCTTACAGGTGACAGGGCTCTCTTTAAGGGAATTGAGTTGATCGAGAAAAATGTTACAATTGTTACGATGATTACGTTAATTTAATAAATTTCTTCTTTGATAGATAGATAGCTCTTTGGAATAATTGTTCGATGTTTTATATTTCGATGAAAATTGAATTCTATTGTATTTTTTAAAATCGATATTATTGAATAAAATAATTCAGTTGTTAAAATTTAAAAGTAAATTATTTTTTTAATAACGCGAATAATGAATAAAAATACGAAATTTATTTAAAACTATTAACTTGTTCGAGTTGTGTATTCATATAAAAATAGATTTATAAATCGTAATTCTATATTTTCATGCATTTGTCGGATCTTGCGAAACAAGATTTTACAAATAAATAATGCGATTTACGTTAATATTTTACGAAATCAATATTCACAATGGAATTGAATCAAACGATGCTCATTTTTGGGTCGTGCGACGCTGTTGGAATGTGATGTGTATGTAGCTGACCGTGTCACACTTTCGATTTTCATCGTCGATGGCCGGCGACATTCATTGGTGCTTTCACGAGTCAGTTGTCTCCACGCGATCAGGATATGTTTTAATATGACGATTAGTTGAAAAGTAACGTGGTTGATGAGGCACAGATATTTCTATTTCTACCACTTCTCCATTCAATATATTTAAATCTACTTAAAATAATCCGTCTTCTTCTAAGATATTTCACGAAGAAAAAAAAAAAAAAAAAAAAGGAAGGAAATTGAGATATTTCTTGAAATGGATGATTGACGATGATTGATTATTAATGGACGAAAGATTTATCGATTATGCATGTGTGTGTGATGCATAGAAATACATACTTAAGTACTTACAAGTGGGCGATTATCTTTCTCTCCGATGGCAGCACACAAAGTGGTAATAAGTGGCTAGGCGCCAAGTAACGGCAGTAGTCAACATCAACAATAAGTCCCGAGTAACTACTGGACCATGTTAAATGCGACTGTATAATCAATTTCATGCTGTCTGTTAGCGCAAAATTGCAAAGTTGCGTTATCTATGAGCGTATCCGCATCCATTTTGAACGCCAATCCATTGCAACCGTTCAATCCCGTGACGTGGAATGTTACGTTTATTATCTGTCTCTCAAAACGAATAACGAATTACGCAAGAAACGTTACAAAGTCAGCCAGTTTTTAAGATGGCATTGATCGCATTTCAACTGAGAAAAACATATAAAAAATGGGAAACTTTGAAAACGAGCCGAGTTTTATTTCCCCGCAAGATGTATAATAAAAGAGGAAAGGGGAAGAGAATTTCAGGAAGAACAAATTCTAACAATTTTACTACTCTCGTTCCAATAATAATAACACCTGCCACGTACGAGTTTCAATGTTTATCACGTCTCCATGTGGACGATACACATCTATGGTAACCTCTCTCTCTCTCTCTCTCTCTCTACGCCATATCGTATGCAAATCGTGCCGTATGTTTGTCCCGAACTCTCGATTTTAGCGGCGACTGTACCCGCGGGCCATCCGGCGAAGAACGTCTGTGTGGCGTTGAAGAGGGATTACGAGAGAGGGGGGAGGGAGAGAAGGACGAAGGAGAGGCAAAAGAGTGAACGTGGAACAGAAGTGGAAAGATGGAGAGGCATACACCTGAGTGAGCTGGATTAATATTTATGGTTCGTAAAATATGCGGATGGAGCCGACGGTATAATTTGCTACGATTTGACCGGAGGGTCTAGGTCTAGACATAACTGAGAAACCCTTCTCGGTTTAATTTTCGGCTACCGAATTTGGAGCGGGTTTCGTTATTGGTACCTGTCTCCCCCCCGCTTCCCTTCCCTTTCGTCCTTCCTCTCATCTTCGTCCTCTGTCATCCTCTTCTTCTTTTTCTCATCTCCTCTNCTCTCTCTCTCTCTCTCTCTCTCTCTCTCTCTCTTTTTACTCTCCCCCCCAACCCCCTTTACTCCCTATTTCGGCCTCCGTCGGATGATGTATCGGTCATCCAGGCAACGCTACTTTTGAAGAAGTAGTAGAGGGATGCGTAATGGTGTGCGGGCCTCCTAATTTCTATCGGTGAAACCCACGAAATCCTTCCGATTGTTGAATTTCAATGGACGACGACGGCATCTACCGTTACATGATGGATCGAATAGGTGTGGGCGAAGGGAAATTAGGATCGGATCGATGGTTCGTTCCCGGTATAATGAACTGTGGTTTACCCGTGTATTATAGAGAAATGGGAGGCTACCGTGGCGCGGTTTTATGGTTATTTCTCGTTTTTTTTTTTTTCTTTTTTTTTTCTTTTTACGATCGGAATACCCGGGGGAGGGGGAGATCTCATCATGCGATTTTCATCATCGAAACGATTCTCGGAAGTAGATCATTTTGTATTTATTGGACATTGAAAGGATACGAATGATACGCTATTCATATATCTTTATTTCTATTTATTTTTTTATACCCCTTTATTATTTCTTTTCGATATTAATGTCAGGATTATTTGATTTTCTTCCCTGTTTCCCGTTCAATTTTTAGAATTTCTTCCAAAAATAATGTTACACGTTACGTAATTTGCTTTAAGATTAATTATCTTGGATTCAACCGAATCGAATTCGTTCAAAAGTTTTCGAGATTTGATGAAAGTCAGACGGATCTTTGTTTAAATTTATTACCTGATTTTTGGTGGAACGGAATATAGGTAGCTACCTTGCTTGAAAACGCGTGGGCCCGCTGAAGGCACGCGTGGGCACATTCACGCTTTTAATGGTTTCCGCCCACGTGGTATGCCGGTTTTTCTTTCGCCGCCAAAGTTAAGCTCGATTCCTATTACTAGTCTACAAGATTCGCTCCATGTCCGAATAATGATCACATCTCCGATCAAAACATTTCTTTTTTAAAACCTCGAAATTTTTCGCTTCGATTCGAAATTTTCAAATTCGAAGGAAAATAATTTTTCACTCCCTAGGGACATTCTAGGGACATTTCGAATATACTTGGGAATTACCTTAAGAGATTCTGAAGCATCACTTGGTAGCAGTGATCGGATTCTCGATATCTTCGAATTTCTATACACCTGTGATCTTGTAACAGGCAACGTTAGTTGGAAACGAGTAAAATCCGAGAAGCGTTGCAGTGATGATTTACACCACGATTCATAATCTGAATGAACACAATTAACGTTAAATTACGTCGTGAACAAAACGTACCCAACGATATCGAGTGTTATCGATTCAACGAGCGGATAATACGAGCGGTTTCTTTTGTTTGATTTAGTTGATGGACGCGCCGTGTCACGTTACTTATTCTAGTTCGCGCGGAAACAATTCAATTAACAAAACAGGTCATTGTCTTGCTTACCTGTGACGGCCTAGAAGGTGTAGGACTTGGATTATGACTAATAGGATGTATTCTGTTCTTGATTTAACGTATTGATGTCAGAATCTTTTCTAGGATATGCGATCGGTAAATTATACCGATATAAGAATCAAAATACCATTTGTGTTTATAGATTATTGGATACTTTGCATATTCGATATAAGGATGATGTTATCGTTAAGTGATCTAGATTTGATAATTAAAAATTTTTCTATCACTGATAATATTCCAATGAATATGCAAATTGAAATTTAAGATTCTGTGTTAAAAATTTATTGCGCTCGATATTTATAGATCGTATTTACCTTGTAAATATAAAGCTAATAAATAATTTAATTGGAATAAATTTTTAATTTGATTTTTTGACACGTATGCGATCGTCTTGTTAAAAAAGTAATTTTTATTAATCATTATTTACGAAGCGTGCCAAGTATTTCTTTAAGATATTATTTTATGTTTTATAAATTTATAACATCGGATTAAAAAGTTTTAAAATATTCCAATAAAATCTGTATGCAAAAAAATAAAATTCTGAAATGTGTCTTTTATATTAATCAACCGATTAAAAATTCATTTGCATAGTTAATTAATGGAGTAGAATAATGTCGACATAGCAGAAAAAAAAAGTATCAGTTTGTATACCAGTTTGATCGAATTCCAATAAAGTTGGTCGTATATTTATAGGCGACAGCGTATATTAAAATATTTTTGAATACAATTATCAGCATATATATATATATATATATATATATATTTTATTTGCCTTAATTTCATTCAATCATTTTATCTTTTTACACCGTTTCATATTCTACCCTACTCGTAATCTCCTTTTATTGATTATCAGATAACGTTAATCGATATTTATATTTTCAATATTCGATATCTCGTATCAAGAATTAAGTTAATTAATCAATCAATTCTTTGATATGACCCCATAATCTAATAACAATAAATAAATAAAATTTTCCGAGTCGTAAAGGATAACGTTTACAAGGATAAACATTTAATTAATATCTATATTGATAATATCTTTATTGCACAACTTTCAGGGCTTGGACAGCAGCGGAAGGCCAGCTTTCGTCCTCTACTTTCGCGTCCGCTACTACGTCGACACACCGTTGCTCCTAAGGTAACAAGATTTCTTAATAGGCAGTAGTCACATTTCTGCCTGATTACATAATTTCACGATTCGTTCACTATCGATACTAACTTTATCTTTATACCCATTGCCCATTGCTCAATACCTAACTCTAACTCGTTTTAACATCGAGAGAGAGAGTCTAGGATCGAGAGAGGATCCGGTAAGGGCGAATAAAAACTCCCGGTAGTCGGTTCGAGGCTACACCGGCTGACAAATTATTCACTCGAAAGAGGCTGGCCAGTCGTAGGAAGCTAAATTAGCCGAGGACGCTCCGGCCATCGGACAGGCCCCCAAATGGATTGCAGAATTAATCGGAGTAATTAGCGTTCCGCTTCAAATACTACCCCGGTGCCACCGTACGTGGCCAAACTGCCAAACCTGCGTAGCCTACTACCGACCTTCTATATCTTTTGCTCCCTTTTTCCCTAGCCACGAGGTATCGCGATTATAAGGGTTTCTCGCTTTGTTGCGAGGATCGATAAAGAGGCGATGGAGCGAAGAATATTTGATTGAAGTTGATTGAAGAAGATTTAAGTTGAAAAACAAGGCAAGAGGAAGGGGGAAGAAAGAAAAAGTTGGAGAAAGAAGGGAAGAATTTGACAACGTTGAACTGATTGAATATATACACATATGACGTGTACACAGGATGTTCATTAAAAAAAATAAAGATTAAGATTTTGCAGAAGGCAACAGAGAATAGGAAATGGCTATCTTGGAAGAAAATAAGCAAGAAATCTATTTTGATATAGATATAACGTACATGTTGTTTAATTTTAATATAAACTATTTGTTACATGATACTTATAAAGAAATTGCATTATAAAATTGGAATTGGATTTTTCTAACAAAATATTTTATATTAAAATTTTCTTAAAAATTAATATTATTCTCGTAACAATCTAATCGTATATTCATTAATTAAAAAATATCTTATATCTTAAATCTTTGTTCTAAAACATCCTGTATACAAAAGAAACGCTCTCTCCAGAGAAAGGGATAGACAGGTGGTAAATAAAGAATAAAAAAGAAAATAGAAAGGGGTGGCTCGCTGGAGAGGTCTCACGAAACGAAATCTCGACTCCTGTCCGGTAGCTAAGTGCTACCTACTCTTGTAATTATAAATTATTACGTGGCGCGTGATAGATAGACCGTATGCATTAAATGAAAGCACTCGTCCCGGTAATTATACTGATCCGTAGTTGCTTTCTGATTTCCACCTGAAACCCGTGATTTACATCCAACCACGCCGTATTCACCGCACGTCCACGTCGACGAGGGTTTAATTCGTGAAAGGACCAGGACTCGAATCGATCTTTCGTTAATTCCTCTATACAATTTTCATTCATTTTTAATCTTGTCACCTACGTTATCTTCCATCTATTTGATCCATCTTTAACTTCTTCAGAAACAAATTTATCGAAAAAGGATAATTATTACTTTATTTTTTTTTTACATTTATAGAAATATTGGTTACACCTCTTGTGTTAAAGAAAGACTGTACATGTTAATTATAGTTTGTTGACCATTTTCGTTCACGATATTTCGAACATTTCTTAATATTATTTAGATTATTTATGAATTATCGCTTCGGTTTCTTGTAAAATCGAGACGAAAGCATTGTGTGAAAATAAATTGTGCAAAGTTACTTTTTCTACGAGTTTATCTCATCAATTTGTTAAAATTATAAATATCAAGTTAAACATCGATTCGAGTGCAACTAAGTTATTCGAAAATGTAAGTCTTTTTCTCCTGTTTCATATTCTTCGATATAAATTTTTTATTATCTTTCTTTTATTAAAATTTTCTTAAAAAGCTTAGACTCGTTATAATAGTCACTTTATATGCAAGACTTTATACAACTTTTTACCCCATGTTTACGCATCGTATAACTAGAACATCTTCGAGCGTACAAATTAACAGGCAGAAACTTGTTCTCAATGTATGGGTCCTCGTGCAAAAACTTGCTCGATATAACCTAACTTAATCACGTAAAACGAAAACGAAATTAACCATTTGATTACCATTTTAGCGATGAAACGACGCGTCACCACTATTACCTGCAACTGCGCGACAATGTCGTCAGGCATGGCGGTGGGGTGGAGAGCCTCCATCCTCACCATCCCTTGCATGAACCTTCTATCGTTACGCCCCTGCTCACACTCGCGGGTCTCGCCCTACAAGCCGATCTTGGCGACTATTCCGAGGAACGACACAGACCCCACGCAGGACCTGTGGGATATTGCAAACCTACGGATTACCTTCCGCCTCACGTGAGTTTTTAATCAGATTTTAGTATTGAACAATATTAAATTGAACATCTGTGTAACTACTTAATTAAAATTTTCTATCTAATATTTTGAAATACATATCTGAGAAAATTCAAGTTTTATCATTTTCGTGTTATTCCTCTTGGGATGAGTAAATTAATCTATTTTTAAATCTCTGCAAAATGAATAAACTTGAAGGTGAACTTTTTAATTTTAAAACTTAAAGTATTTTATATATTTGGAAAATGAGTAAATTCTAAATTTTAATTAAGGAGTATAATTTATATTTTTTTCATAACTGATTAATTCTTGTATAATATCTAATTAAAAAATAATCGTATCTTCCTATAATTTAGAAGATAATAATTTTTGACAATTTATACAACATGTTATATATTATTTAATAATTAATTAAATTACTGTATACGCAATATCGAACATTAAATCTCATTTCATTTCAATTTTATTTAAACATAAATTTTCAATTTCTCGTAGAAAACGTATTTTTTTTAAAATTTACTCGCTGGAATGCAGATCTATTCTCGACGTTGGTATTAAGATAAAATAAAATATTACAAATCGAACACTTCAATTCCTAAATACACGTCTACGTGCATGATCGTAGGTGGCCGAGGAACGCAATTTGATCATAAATCGTATCTGTTGAATTCGCTATTTAACGCAATCAATAATTACGTTTACCAGATGTGCCTCGAGTCGAATGTGCTCGCCGTGCTCGCGGCACAGCACAGGGACAATCGGGGCCTCTCGAGGGAGGAGGCAGAGTTGCAATACATTCGGGAGGCGGTGCTGCTGGAGGCGCCGCTCAACGCTCACCTCTATCGGTTACGAAGAAGCAAGAACGAGGCAGGTCCTGGACGTATACTCCTCGCGATTTGCGCTCGTGGGGTGCGAGTCTACGCCGAGGAGGAGACACCGCGTGTCTTTGCCTGGAACAATATCGGCAAACTTTGCTTCGACGTTAGTTTTGTCATCCTTTCTTTAAATATTACAACTCAAGCTGATATTGCTCTTCCAATTTTTGTTGTTAGTCTATACAAATTGATTTATGACGAAATTCTTCTGTTTTATTGCGTTTATACACAGCGCAAGAAGTTTGAGATACGCGCAGTCGATCAGCCGGACAAGCTCACCCTCTATAGTGGGTGCGATGACAAAAGCAAATTGCTTCTGGGACTCTGTCGAGACACCCATCAGTTCTCCATGGCCATAGCACCTAGAGTAAATGAAGCGAAGAGGCGAGAAGAGGAGGGTTAGTTGAAATTTATTTATTGATTAAAATGAATTTTTAACAATTTATCTGTAGTTATAATACGAATTTTCTTTTTATATTTACCATGTATCATCTTTTTTGTATCCTCTTTATGTTTAAATTCTCTCTTCTTCTTTGTTACTTAATTTCAAAAATGAAATCCGTTTAATATTCTTTCCAGAAAATAAATTTTCTGTTTTCATCTTCAGAGAGAAAAGTACTTCGCGACTGCTATATGTATCCTGCGCGATGTAAGCTGAGTTTAACAGCACGAGGGGCGCGCGGTGACCAACGAATTTCTGTTATCTCGAGCACATCGTCTAACACAACTTCTGGAATTGTTAGCGATCGAGTTCATAGCGAGGACGAGCCGGATACGGCGCCCGCTTCGACTGAATGTCTGCCACGTCTTACTGAAAATACTTCACACTCCGGTGTTCAATGCGGTGTAAATGGATCGAATGCAGACGTCGAGGATCGTTCCATGCCGTCATCCCCAGTCTCCACTGTGGATGGTAAACTTGTTTCTATTCTGAAAATAATAGCATTATTTTAGTATTTGTCGTGTTTTTTGTCGTGTAATTATTAATTAAGATTAGATAATGATAACCAATTTTTTAACCAAATTTTGGAAACTAAAAGATCGATAATAAAATTCTATTTTATTTACCGTTAATATAAAATAAATAAAAATAGTACAAAACCATTTTAGTCATGTAATCTTATAAATAATCGTGTAATTTTTAGAAGTTGATGGTACGGACAGCACTCCTACAACAGTTGCGTTACGATTAGCATCGAGTGCAGCTACGGCGGCTGAAGGGTCACAATGTAGCAGCAGCTGCAGTACGGTCGTGGTTGTGAATACACCTGCTGGTGGACCGCCACGAATGCGGCGCACATCCGCGACTTCCAGTTTGGAGCTTGGTTATTCGCATACGGCACAGAATTCAGCAGTTTCGTCAGAAACTGCTAGCTTTCCTGGCGCCATTTACGACAGGTGCAAGAAAGGTGGTAAATACGCAGGTAAGTTAATGAGTTTTCTGCTTTTGCTGAAAAAAAAATAATATACAATTTAAGATGGAAAGATATAATGAAATCTAAATTAAAAGGATTAAAAAAGAAATAAAAAAAACAATGATATATTTATATAGTAAAAATATAAAATGAAGGTAATTATTTGTGGAATAATAATATTTTATATTTATAATTGTAATATTTTACTAATTTTTTATATATTGTTTAGAAATATAAATAATCTTTGATTTTTGATTTAATAATTCTGTTTTATAACTTATTTATTAATTAAGAAAAAATTTAGCAAGATTACCTTAAAATCTGATTCTTACTTTTATTATAAAATATACAAAAAGAAAAATATGGAATAGTCAATCATTGAATTATTATTAAATTTAAATATATATATTAAAATATATTTGTTTATTATGAAATCACTTTTAATTAATATTACTTATATGAAATTCTTTTTTAGGCACTGATATTGCGAGTGAAACTAGTGGAGTCTATACACTCAGGAGTAGTGAAATGCAAGATGAAAGAATGGGAGATCTATATTCACCTACTGGTGATGTCAATGGATCTTCCACAGCGAGTGACGTGTGTGCCTTAAGTTCCGTACAGTCTACAACCGATGAAGCTTCCGTAACATCCGGTTTTTATACCATACACAGTGGTCTTAGATCTGAAACTAGCGACGTTTATACGGAAGATGTGAGTACAGAAGATCAAGAACCTATTTACAGCGTCTGTAAAGGTGATGAAGATGTCAATAACATGATGTCTACAATCTCGGCAGTCCCTTTGGATCAACAACTCGAAGATTCTAGATCACGTAGCAATAGTATACTTAGTGCAGGAAGCTTCAGAGGTGACGGCAGTGATCCTTCTAGTGTTGGACCTCTGTTATCAGCCGATGAACTTTCTGACTTGATTGTTGGACGTTATCCCCCTCGAAAAACTATTAGCAATTCTATGGACTCTGATTGCGATTACGTTACTATGCCTCCACCACCTCCACCACCTAGGACCGATAGCGACAGACAACTTCCTCCACCTCCTCCTTACCCAGTGAACATGGATTATGCAACAATAAATTCACCACGGTCGAACATACCCGATATTGAAAGAGAACCTCCACCTCCACCACCATATAATGCTACTCGCGGTGAATTTATACCTTTGCCACCACGAAGAACTGATCCACCACCACCGCCACCATATACTTCACCAAGAGAAAGAATTCAAATACCACCGCCTACACCTCCAAGAAACGATGCGGTGACACCTAGAGAACCTCCACCTCCACCACCTTATCCTGAAGTTCCGGAGGTTACTCGACAAGAAGCAATTTCCAAATTGTATCCAAGTGAAGAAATCGTGTCAAGGGTAACATCGACGAAAATACAAACGGGTCTAACAAATACCAAAATGAATGCCACTTTGACAGCTTCAAAGACTACCAACACCATTCAAACAAACGACATTGCGTCAATCGCTCCGAAACCACCACCTAGAATTCAACCACCCACTTATCCTGGTGACAAAATGAAACCTACGCCGGTTCATGCTCCCGTCGCAGCTCTTGTTGTTGGACCAAACAATTATTTGGATGTTCATGCTTCACGAGGTGGTCCAGTTTTGTTACCTTATTTAACGCCACCACCACCTCCGCCACCTCCTCCACCACCCATGATACATCCTAGACAGCCCCCGCCTCCACCACCCAGCTTAGCTACGGTTTACACGAGTCAAGTTGCGAGATCGCAGATCGAACAATATAAACAACAACTATATTCAGACGTTGATTACGTAATGTTTCCTTTAAAAGATCCCGCAGTGTCGAAACAAGAGTACATTGACGCAAAGCAAGGATCACTTTTGGCAGCCATGGCTGCTTATCCTCCTCCTCCTTATCCTTCGTTTAATAATAAATCATTGGTAATGTATCGTAGCACACCATACCTTCCTGGTTCCTCGTTTTCATCACCCACAAAATACGCTTCAAATCAAAATCTCAGTAGCAGCGACACGAGCTCTAATAATTACTTACCGCATAGTAATCTGAGTAGCCACTATGCTGCTAGTACAAGTTCGTTATATAGTGGAGCTACTTGTTCATCGGCAGGAAGTCAAAGTCTTAGACGTGAACCATCAGCCGCAGCTCATACTCATACGCTCCACGCTTTCTCCAGAACAAGAAGCGACGAGAACATATTAAAGTGTTTCGATTCATCTACTAATACAAAACTGCAATCTCTGCCGCAATTGAAACATCGCAGACTTCCGCCACCTCCACCGCCACCACCTTACGAAATTCAGGTAAACTAAACATCATATAATAATATATAAAAATTATATAAAAGGATGTTGCTATATATTATATCTGCATAACGCCATATGTAACATAAATTTTCAATATTAATTATTAAAAATATGTTGTTATATGTATAAAAATTTATAATATACATACAAATTCCTTAATCAAGTATTTATACCAAGTATTTTATTTTTTACTTTATTTGTTTTCAGAATCTTGAAAAGAATCAACCACTTCCGTCCGCTTCTTCGTCATCTTCTTCACCGAAGAAGACGTTAAAAACAAATACTTTGGAGGAACGTGAAGAAGGGAAAGAAGACGGAATGTTGGATATTCGAACACTTCGCGAAAAAAGCCGTAATTTAGATTTGCCACTAATATCAGCATTATGTAATGATCGATATCTATTAAAACAAACGAAAGCATTCGTTATGCCCAAGCATCCTGCTGAGCCGACTTCCTCGACGTCTTCAAAGAACGGCACGCGAAGCAGCAATGGCGGAACATCTAGTAGAAATAAATATCCAGTTAGTGGTCTTTCTACAACGCAAATCACTAAACCCCCGAGGAAATCATCGACGAGTACTCACAAACACCCCGCCGAGGTGAAGGGCAATGCTTATAAGATCACGAATTCGACAGGTGTGTCGGCTGTTAAAAAGGATCCGACAAGGGCGTCACATTCGTAATAGACAATAAAGAAAAAGAAATAGAGTTTATCAGTTTTGCGACGCTATGAAAATTTTATACCTCGATCAAAGTACATTCCACAAAGCTGTTCAAACGATTCCATAACTGTTATACTCTATCCATAAAATAACAGATAGCAGCGAAAAAAAGGTCTTAACACCTTAAGTACTTAAATAGCGTTTCTAAATAAACCGTGCTTCTTCAACTCAGGGTGCCATTTTATCGTTTACAATTCTTTTGCTCGTCGCAAATACTCAAGGAAGAAAAAGAAGTTCGATGATAGATTAAACCTTCACAAAGTTTAAAACAGAAATGTCGAAGGTGACTGTTACGTAATATCTTTTTTCTTAAATAATTTCGTTCTTATGATCTCTCTGATATTTCTGAAAATTGTATTTCTTCTTTGCAAACAAAGCTTTTCTTTCGTACGTAGAATAGTTGAAATACACCGATAATAAAAATGTTTATTAACTTTTTTATTTTTGCTCAAGTAAGCGATTAGCGCGAAATGAAAAAATTAAATGCGAAGTTTTGTAAATCTTGATAACGACAAAGCGTGAGAAACGCACTTGCGTATAGTTATTTGATATTAGGACAACAATTTGTGTAAGTAATTACACAGATATTTTTATACTTTGAATGAAAGCAAATATGAGTATTGTAACTATTGAAATAGTACCTTTTTTGATGTCTACGAAAATAATATTTATTACAATCCAAAAGATTCTTGTCTTTATTTTTTTTTCTATATTTTTTTTTTTTTTTTTTTTTTTTTTTTTTTTTTTTTTTTTTTTTTTTTTTTTTTTTTTTTTTTTTTTTTAATTTAATCAATGCTCGCTTTATGATACTTTTTCTATCAAAGCGTTTTTAAGCATTTGCGTGTACGTAACTGTAAGTGTAGTCGTTTATTTAGAAAAGTTTAAGCATTAAATATATTCGGTGAAAAAAATTTATTTTTTTTTTTCAGTGACTGAACATTGTTATGATAGAAACATTACACAAATTCTCGAATTTTGACAACTGAATATCACAAGAAATCTTTCTTAATAAAGTTTATACTGCACTACAGAACACGTACTAAAAAATAATGTGACAATTAAAATGATATAAGATTTGCGCAAAAATGAATCTTTTGAACATTAATATTATAGATCTTAATGTAATGAATAATAATTTAGTTGTAATGTTGAATTATGTTAATTAATATTAGATATTAATATTACAACATGACCCATGTCTGTAAATAGTGAAATCATAGGACTTGTTGTAGTTGAAAACCTCATGTATGTACTACGCGTCACCTCAGCTACGAATAATAAACTTTTTTTATAATGAAGATCGTTACGAAAAAATGTTTTTTGTTGACTACATGAAACCAAATAAATTTAAGATATTATATTTTCATATAATTTAAAAAACTGACCTGAAACAATCCTGATATTCAAGAAATGAAAACATATAAAAGTTTTGAATTGTATACATCATTATGCTTATAGTATAATTTTTAATATATATATATATATATATATATATATATATATATACACATTCTTTATCTAATATTAGCAAAACTTATATTTAAACTATCTTATGTATGATTCAAATACTGTCACAGATTAGATATATAATTGATTCGACATCTAATAAATGTTTTATTCCATGTTTAGAAAACATAATTCCCTAGTAATTACTATTTTAGTAAATTTTTACTATTTTTAACGTTATTGATTCAAAATATATGAGATTGCAATATTATAATTAAAATAGTTGAAATATAAATTATAGAATAAAATTTTTTATAATTTTATATTATTAATATTATTAATAATCAAAAGGTCGGTATTTCAGAACATATAATATATTTTATAAGATATCATGTCTATTTTGTATTTTGTCTATGGTGAAAGTGAATGCTTCTGAATTAACCGAGTTTTAACCGATTTTATAATTTTCTTCTGTGTTCATAGATAGCGTTGTAAGTTTATTTCTGCAATGTCAGCACAAAATTTCAAACGTTCGATTGACTTTCGTCCAAGATGTATTCTTCAGTTGATGAATCGTTGCCTTGAAGCGTACAAAGAAAATTGTAACAAATGTGTTATTTTTAACTTAAAAAACTTTCGAAGAACTAACGTGTTATTTACTGAAGAAAGCACATGCGCGGTAGTAGTTATAAATGGCCCTGCATGTTGGAACATGTTCGTGCTGAAAGATTAAATCAAATAATATTTCAAACGATAACAATAAAGTAAACGTTTTACCTTGATCAATACCGTACGCCAGTCAACGAACGCGCGACGAAGTATATATAACTGTTTGTAGCTTTTACTCGTTCTTCAGTTGGCAAAACGCTACTCACACAGTGTAACGCGGAAAATTTGGATGTCGGATAGTGTTTCGAAACTATTGGACAACGTTATTCATTGAACAGACTTCGTGATAACACCAAACGTTAGTTTACTGTGAGTACCATATTATTTAATTGTTTTAACATAATATTGATATTAATTTTAATTTTTTGTATTATATTCATAAAATTTAATACTTGTTATAAATTAAAAATAATGTTGCATTATATGTAATGTTACGAATTTAATATTTAATATATGCACTTTCAAATAATTAAATTATCTAAATCATGAAGTGAATAACTAACCTAGTATACGATTGACACAATTTTCTCAATAGCGTTGGTATATAAATCTAATGTATCAATTATGTCAATGATTTCTTAACCCTTTCAATATTACGTAAATTATATGTTTAATAGATTTTATTGCATATACAATTAATTTACAAAATTTTTACTTACAACTTTTAAAATTATATTGCATATAATTTAGAAATGCATTACATAAAGTTAAACCTGTAACTATGTTACCTGTAACTATATTGAAATTAATTATTATATTTCTTAATTATTTTGTTTTAATACAATTTCTTATTTGCAAGTATATATATTTTATGTTTATATGTTTAGTATTATATTTATTTTATATAAAATTCATATTAAGAATAAACAAAAGAGAAAAACATGATTTAAGTCTATTAACCCTCATTTAAACGATAATTGAAAGTGTCAAATATAATAATTTACTGCTTTGAGAAAAACAATAAATATATTTATGTCCAACAAATATTTCGATATAATTTCCTAACATTTTCATAGTAGTTTCATAGTAGTTTAAAATTACGAAAAATCATTATAAAGCGCATAAATTATAATAGTATTATATAGGAAGAAAGGGAAGAAAGTTAGATACTTTGTACATATTTTGAAAATATTTAAAAAATTAATTCTTAAATGGTTTTTGTTTCTTTTTTATTTTGCTATTTAATTTAAAATTATATTATGTACAAACAAAAGAATTTTTCAAGAACAAGCTTTTCATATAATTAATTATAATCAAAAATTTTAAATTAATTATGTAATACTATCATCTATTCTGCTTGCATGCTCGAATGAATACAAAGGACAAAGAAAAAAGAGAAATTGAATTGCTTAGTTGGAGTATTCATTCTATCTCTTAATATCCTTGAAACTTCTACATATGGAGTTTAAAGATATTTCTTATTTATGTTCATACATATTTTGTTAATCAAATGAGTCTGATATTAATACATTTATATACATATTTTTTTATAAAAAAAATTATAAATTCTATATTATATATATTAATATATATTATATATATTAATTGTTTATAAAAAATAATTCTTCTTGAATTCAATATTTTTTTCTGCATACATAAATACACATTCTCTATTTCTCTTCTGCTATTTGTTGTATTTAATTTTTATGCAATTTTTTTCAATAAATAATCAATAATACATAATATATATTTATGATTACTTTTATTTTATGCAATTTTAATATTTATATTTAAAACATAAAATGCATTATATAACAGAATAATTATTTATTAACGTTAATAATAAAAGAAAATAAATACAAAATATGATAATGTACAAGAAATTAAAAAAAAAACTGATCATATATATAGTTATGACTCAGTAAGCATGTAACATTGTTTTACGATAACGTACTTTGTAATAATGACTCAATTTAACAAAAAAACAATGTATTGATATTTTAAGTAATTTAAATATGGTATAATTTTTATTGATTTTTTAAAATTGAAATTGATCTCTAGTTAGATTCAGACAGGTTCTTAAATCTGATCACAGATTAAATGTTTTCGCACACTGTTATAATCTAATAATGGAGATAGCATAGCAATTTGGATGTTCCGAGATTATTTGGTAACGGTACACGAAATACGTTTTCTTTTTTTATTCTTAAGAAAGACAATCACTTCAAATGATTTCTTCCTATTTGACAATATTTTTTCTTCTTTTTAATCTTGTCAATTGAAAGTTATTGGATTATTGACATGAAATTTTTTATTATTTCACAAAGAGTAAACATTTGAATTTTAAATTATTTATTGATTAAATTTTTTAATTTAAAAATTAAAAATTTATATTTTTTATAAAACGTTATGTATATCATTTTTTTGTTTTAGAAAATTTTTTCGCTTCATAAATAATAATTGTTAACATAATTACACAAACATTATTGTTAGTGCAGACAATGTAGATAATAATATATCTTTGCATTTACTTAGAAAATCACGAAGAAAGAAAAATAATTGTAGAGATAACACAAAGTAGCAGCGTTTATATAACAGCAATATAATCTATTTTATATATCAATTATTTAAAAAAAAAATTTTTTAAAAAATAAGAAATTGAATTTGTTTGATGAAATTGTACACAATTATATCATACACAATTTTAAGAAAAAAATTATTACAAAATATTAAAATAAATTATTATAAAAAGCTTTATTATTGAGGATAAAAATGTTATATTTTTTTTTTAAAAGAGAAAGAAAAGTTTTTTTTATTTGAAATTCTTCATCAATTTTCTTTAATTATTTAATAATAATCTAATTATTTTTAAGATGGATTATTTATTTTTGTTTATAAATTAATTTTTTTTATATGTATTATGTATATATTTATCTATCTTCTTACCAGTTCACTTCTACGCAATTTTCTATGTCGTAACTTTATAAATTGCAGTTCCCTTTCACGTAGAGACATCAAGTAAAACATTATGAAATGATTACAAGGAAATAATTTGTTTTACTAATCAAATTGTTGGTCAGCTAAGGGAAAAGATATTAGGATTGGTAGAATTTTTGCAAAAATAACTAATATTTATTTATATTGAAGAAAAATTCGCAATAGATAATAAATATCTATACCTAAGGATTAATTTACAGCAGGATTAATTAGGATCATTATTTTAAAAATATTTTGTATTTTTATTGATTTTCTATTGTATTTAATAATTGTTTTGAAACAATATCTCAATAAGTCATCAAATACTTTTGGAACAATTATTAGTGTAATTTTTACATTATATGGTTTGTAAATTAGTAAAATACTTAATATAATTAATTAAGGCAATCGTGAAATAAATTTAAAAGACGATTTATTAATATAATCGATTGAATTGAATTTCTAAAAGTTTTATATAGTTTATATAATTTTGAATAGATTTATTAGAATAATTTTGAATTCTATTTGAATTCTATTTTCAAAAATAAATTTTATATAGTTTATGCATTATATATACTTCAATTGAGTAGATAATTAGAATTATAAAAGAATGTTAATCTTATCAAAAGCTAATCATTGAATTAAATTTGATTTTATTTATAAATAATCTTTATATTGCATATGTTCTCTTTTTAGTAAATGTCAAAATATTTCTATAATATACTTATTTGTTATACAACTAATTGAAGAATTGAAGAATTGATTATTTTTTCTTGTTAAATAATTTAGAAATAAAAAGATTGCTCAATAAATTATAGAGAAAATTTTTTTCATATTTCTATGCAAATAAGATGTGTTTTCAATGAATATATTTCATAATTAATAACAAATTTTATTTTTAAAAAAGAAAAGAAAGAAGAAATAATTTAATATAAAAAATTTTTTCTCTTGAATTGTTCTATTAAAAATATGATCACATTTTCAAATAATTTTTTGATTTTTTTATCATCTTAGTACATCGAGTTCAAGATATATAGTTTACATACAAGATTCTAAAAAATTCAGAGCTAAAATTAGTTGAGCTCTCTCCATGAAGTTCAGTTTTTCTTCAAACTAAAATTAGTTAATTTTCACGCGAAATAATTCACAGTAAAAAAAATTTTCTTAATGTTCTTATTTTTTAAAGAATGAATCATATATTATTCATTGAAATGAATCGATAGAAACAGATAATTTTACCAATTGCCAAAGGAAGTGTATAAAATGTGTAAAATATAACGGGGGAAAAAAAAAAGTTAAAAAAATTCTAATAGATAAATGCTTCTAATATAGAATCCTTTTAATATTCTTCAAATTTATCTTTATTTTAAATTTATCATAATTCGCAGAATTTGACTTCCTATGTTAAAATTATCGCAAAAGTTAAATCACTGCATCCGTATTTATCGATAAGAAAGAAACAATACAGTTTAAAGAGTGATATTCTCTTGTCTGTTTACGACGTGTAAACTATATATTTTTGCGACACTGTTGATCGAAGAATCGGTAAAGACTCGGTTGATATTTGCTTAGATATTCATCTACAGTAAAAGTGCGTTGACATGAGTTTCATTTGAAGCATAAGCTATAAATCTATCTTGCAATAAACACTGATAAAATTTCAATTAATCACTTGACGATGGGATCTGTCTCGTACGGATCATATATATATATATATTTATATATATATATATATATCACATGATGCTGGCATCCAAGAAAAAAAAATGTGAATCAACATTGTTTTTTAATTTTTACTCAGTAATACAATATTTCGACCATTATTTATATATGGCAATTAATAATTCATCGATAATTCTCATATTACAAGCGATATTATAAGAAGATATTTTTAATATATTAAAATAACTCTTTATTATAATTGATTATATATTCTTTGTTATTCATTTTGCGAATTTAGAATACGAAATATAGAAAAAGAACGACTTGGTCTTTAACCATTACGAATCGATGACGCGCAAGCTAAAGAGTTTAAATTAAAGAGATGATAGGAAATGAAAAAACAAACGGAGATGTATCAAATTTCATTCTATCAACAGAAATATTGAATCACTTGATAAGCTGTCGATTTCTGTTAATTGTTCGTAGAATATTCCTATCTCTTTACGATATAAAAGTTGAATTAATTTTATTATATATCTCTTAAAACATGATACTTTATTGTCTCCTTAAGTATTTTAAATGAATTGACATCTTTATTACTAATTCTTATCTATTTAAATTAGCAAAAAGTGTGTATACTTTTTTTATATTAAAAAGATTATTGTCCAAACTCGTTATTAGACTATTTACCCTACGTATCAAAAATTCTTTTATGTAAAAAACAAGAAGCG